CCCTTGTCCATCTACCTGGAAAACCTGTTCACGAGTAGATTCGAAATGGAAACCAAAGAAAAGTCAGAGTATTTTCCTAGGATATGGCTAAGGTATGTGGATGATATTTTCGCGATATTCGATAACAAAAAATCGAATATTGAGGACTTTCTATCCTTTTCAAATAACATATTTCTATCGATACAATTCACGTATGAGTTAGAAAATGAAGGAAAACTTCCATTTCTCGACGTTCTGATAATGAGGAACCAATATAGAGGGCTTAAATACGATGTATTTAGAAAGGAAACGAGCACGTACCGGTAGTTATAGTTCAAGTTGAAGATATAGTGCCCCTACCTTCCAGCAGTTCCCCTTTAATAACACACACAACGCGGTACTCATCGCTATATTCTGTTGGTCACCGTAACATGACTTCAAATTTCAACAGTCGCCCATCATATTGTGCAACAAAACCACTCCATAGACTTTAGTTCATTAAGATTAGTCAGACAAGTTAATAACGATGGTAGACCAATATCTAATAGTATACTCTATAGCGTGTTATAATATAATTTCAATTATTAGAGTTACTTACCTATAACATAAGGACATATTGAAAAATTAATTTAAGACAAGTAGATAAGGCAATATTGTGAAATGAATTCAAGAAACGCAGGAACCTGGAAGAGGTATCTATTGTATAAATAAGGATAACACTTTAAGTATATTCATTTTGATCTTCCTCTTGAAGATGATCACTTGGTGATCGAAACACGTGTCGAGGTGTTAAAATAACGGTTTGGTCTTGGGAAAAAACTCCAGTAATATTCAGAACATGGTACATTTTCTACAATCTAGTGAGAACCAGATCGGCGATTGGTGTGCGACTACTTCATGGGAGGGTGTCAGTGAGATGCCCTCCCATTGATGCAGGATACAATCTGTAACCACCAGCCAGGAGACGCCCTCCTAATTCTTTAAGGTAACCTGTAGCCATGCGCAGTTTTGTGTTAGTGTTTTGTAAGTGTTATTATTATTATCAATGTGATAGTATACTTGGCTGGTGGCTTCTATGAATAGTGTTAAATAGATAGATTGATTGATAGATACCTTCGGGAATTCACAGGTGGTGAACACGGGATTGGCAACATTGAGCTCTCGAGCTGGAGCTGACACTTTTTCAACCAGTCTTGGGTCAGATCCCTTCCATTTCTCTTTTCTGATCACATCTTGTTTTTCCAGACTTCAACACTATTAGGTATTCGAGGGTTGGAAGTTTATAATTTTTCGTCTCATTCTCACTTCAGAGGAGTGAACCCCAATAATAAATTCGAAATCTTGAAGTGGAAACCACCATGGTGAAGAAATGAGTGACTCAGTTGTAAATGAGTTTCAAACGATGTCCTCTGGATACATAATAACGGTTGTAGTACCGACTCCTACTCATTATTGGAGCACTGCTGCGTTGGTGAAAAATATCTGCCCTATTCGTGGGATCTAAAGGGATACAGAAAAAAAATAATACAAGTGAAGAGAAAAAAGCGAAAAACGGTTCAACAAATTCTGTAGTAACCGATGAGATGGAAATATCTGAAATGATAGACTGATGAGGACTCCATCAAGAACACGAATGTACTGGCTTCCTGAAGTAAGCAACAACCGATAGATGCCAATGAAAGATACTTTCAGCATGGTTGAGGGGTCTGGCGGCCGCCTCCGAATCTTCAGGAATATCATAAACCAAGTCACCTCGCACGCTAAGCAATTAATAAAAATTGTGCATAAAATGTAACTGACAGATCTGGCTCACAGAAGATGATTGGAAGAATGAACTCTTTCAAAATATGGAATCTCAGCAAGGCAATATATAAGAGCCAGCAGGAGAATATACTTTGATACTGCCGAGTAGCATATGAATGAGTATCAAATGCAATTGAACGACTTCGATGGAAGGAGGAGTCGAAAAGCTAGAAGGGGAAGGGAAAGGTTGCAATAATGGTACACTCGTTTGGTTTTAAGAACGAGGAAAGTAACCTCACACAAAAATCCAGACTGATTCTTCATTCGAGCATTTTGAACAATAACTTCAAAGAGGATGTCGACGAAGATGAGATCATCTATAGATCGCTGAACCTACCATGGTACAGCAAGGTAAGAAATGCGTGCAATACCAGAGGTTAATGGTGTAACTGGGATATGGAATGTTGGAATTCCAGTTCGCTGGTATAGATATCGCAAGTAACACAATAGACAACCCAAACCCAGACAAGCAGAAATACGGAAGGTAGTGCGCAGAGTACCAGCAAACCTGTCATTGGGAGTAAAGCCAAGCAAGACGCCCTACTTGTGTGAATGCCCAATACTATTTACGCAGACCTTTCAAAGGCAGTGAAAAACACAATGTATATCGCTACCTAAAAGTGGCGATATACTTGTTAGGGTTAGGGAAAAAAATATACAGAAAAAAATACCCGCGGCCTAGACAACTGTACTGAGAAATCAGAGGATACTCTTTGTCAAAGGTATGGATGAATGCAATTTCAAACGCCATCCCAATGGATCAGGGTAACATAGAGGTTCGAGCCCTCATAACTGTCATAGCAAACAGCAGAATGCCATACTACTTCTGCCAGAACAAGAGGTACTAAAACTAATAGATAAAGGAAAGGTGGGAATATTAGTTTCGAAACTACAATTAATAAATGCATATATGAATATAGTTAAAATTGAAAGGGTTTTTTGGAAGTGATTCATTTTTCGGAAAGAAAGTTTTTGGCTTTCTACTACTGCATCGTGATATGAAAAATGTAAGAATTTTCCAAAGAAAAAAGGAAGCAATTATTTTCAAAAATTAACTCTACAGGGTAATTTAAATTCGACCCCCACCATTGGTATCTTCTAAACTACAGGAGATACGTCGAAGCTTAAATTGGTTGCGGTTTTTTGTACTCAACAAAGCACTGTTATGAAATTTGGAAAATTCCGAGTATTTTCGGAAATATCCGTAAAAAATTGAAAATTGAGATTTTCGTTTTTATTTTATTCTAACGTCATTTGACAACATAGCTCAAAACCAAAAACACATTTCCATCAATACTTTTTTTCAGCTACACGTTTTCATGTTTAAATTTACTATCCGACGTTTCGTCTTCTGGCAATCGTCAACTTTTTTTTCTATTATGCGCGCCAAATTGTTTTTTTAGACAGAAAAATAGTGTTTCTCATTATAATTTCATTGATGTATAGATTGTTATCATTTGCTCTTCTGAAACTACTGGTATTAAAATAAAAACCTCTTCATCTGAGATGGTCATGACTCCATCGAGAAATTTTGTTTGATAAACACTAGTTTGTTTGTCCAACAACGCATTTAGCCAAGCTAGCGTAGAGATATACAACATATGGAAACCTCTAATCAAGCGGAACACTACCAACTCCCGCCAAACGGTCAGCTTCCGCTAAAACCGATGAGGCGGAAGAGGGGATAGATGAAAGCATTCGAATGACCTATAAATAGTCAGATCTCAGAGGAATAAGTCCAATTATCACCCGAAGATGATTGTGGATATTAACAATCGAAACGCTGAAGTAACTTGGTTTGGAATCTTTTAATTTTTAATTTTCATTTCTTGTTAATAATTTTTATTTTTCAGCAAATCTTTTTTAATTTTTTACAGATTCTTTCATAGATTTCAAATTAATTTATATCAATTTAGACAAGTTCATTAGTCCGAACTAATGAAATGCAAACACTAGTTGTTAGAACTCATCAAACATCATAAGTTTTCACAAATACTTCAGTCGAAATGTCTTCATTTTCAAATGAAGAAAAACGAAATATGTTGAAACTTTATTATGAATTTGATAAGAATAATACGAAAACAGCATTTTATTGCTGGCTCTCGGATAGGAGAGATCCCACAAACTTCTTGAGAAATATTATTTAGACCGACGAAAGTACTTTTTTGAACATTTCAAAATGAGGACATTTCGACTGAAGTATTTGTGCAAACTGAGTTCTGACAACTAGTTTTTATTAAACAAAAATTTTCGATGGAGTCATGACCATCCCAGATGAAGAGGTTTTCATTTTGCTATCTGCAGTTTCAGAAGAGCAATGAAATCAGAATAAGAAGCACTATTTTTCTTTTTTCTGAAGCCAGTATATCATTCAATTGTCCCAAAAACAGATCTACCTCAGTCGAGGGAGATCTATAAAAGGAATATATCAGTAGTGTACTATTTGAACATTTTGCTTTTGTTTTGATTATAACGCTTCCGTTGAGATCAGTTAAGCTATGGGACTGATATAAATCTGATTTTATGAACATAATTACCCCATCATTTTGATTGAAGGAGATAATCAAGTAATTCATGATTTGGGGTTAGGTTAGCGTTAGATACCTCTTCATCGTCTACTGGAACATCAATCAACTTGCAATCACAGGGTTTTTCATTTAGTGGAATCATAACATTTTACTATACATTGAAGTCAGAGGAGTTTTCTGCCGTCTAATCGTATTCGAGCGTGTATTTGAAAACGATTCGTAGTTACGTCATTAATAATAAAAGATTCGCCTGAATGGCATGATTCAATTTGGGTCATATGTTAAATTCAATAATAGAAACAACCTTTTTAAATTACTCTAACGTCAATTATATTCGGATTTGTGCAAGTAATAATTTTCCAGCTTCATTTTGTGAATCCTTACAATGTATTTGATGAAAAGTTTATAAACTAAAACGATCGAAATAAAGCAGAAAGTGACAACTGAGGTAATTTAATGTCAAATTCCGTTTTAAAACCGACCTCACGCTAGTTTTGAATCATGATGAATACGTTTCAAATCATAGTTGATGTGGCGTCATCGTTTCAACGCCAGAATTGTATTTGAATCACAGACGAATACTTATGTTTTGAATACATGAGCGCCAGAAAACGCCTCTAATTTTGAACTCAGCCTTACTATTCCTAAAGCTGTTTCTTATGGTATCTATTCCAATTAGATTTTATCAAATCCCTAAGAACAGCCATCATTTATTTTCAATAACACATGAACAAATGTAAAGATACGACTATCTCATTTCAACTGATAATATCCATAAAGTGAATTGCTGATCACATTCTTCATCGTCCACAAAAAAATTTGAAATCAATTTCGTTGCCAAATCGTTGATGTTTTCAAACCGAACGACCACCGCTACTCCAGTCTCCTCTTTCTTCAATATATTGCCATCAATATTTCTTTCATGAGGATCGAAGACATAGAAGAGCCCGCCTTTGAAGAAAATGCTAACCCATTGGTTGTAGTAACTCATAATACAAAATTGTTCTTGTTGGAAAAATATGTTCAAAATTCTGTTCAAATTTTCGAAAGTGAATAAGTCGCTGATAATGGGCTTGTAAATTGACACGTGTATGGTCAATTTGCCCATGAAAAATTTTCGGAGTACATTTTCCATGCCCAACTTTTTATCTTTCGGGCCGTACGCTATGTAAGAGTCTGTGTAGAGTTGATTACCAGCGTCTAAAATCTGATCGATAGTCTTGCTACTCCAAAATTCGATGGATAAAAGGTGATGCATTACTACAGCTGATATACAATTGGGAATATCTTGATTATTTCTCTGTTCTTCACCATATATTTTGGAATTTTGGCTTTTGTATCCTCTCAGAATGGCGTTACCCCCGGTCATAGGAGAGTACCCTTTTCGTCCAATCAATTGTAAACGCTTTGCTTCCTTTTTCTTTCTAGTGTCTTCGGCCTGAAAATAAATTGTGAGTAAATTCATATTTTATGCACTCTTTTCCTCTTTTAGGAGCGGTTTAGGTTAGGTCTGTTGAAGAACTTTAGGTACTGAAAGTCAAAGGCAAAATATTTAGTGGAACGGCGATCCGTGAGATTTATACCACGGAATTCAGGGCCACTCAATGAATCTTCATATACACTCCTGAAATGTGTTTCCAACAATAATAAAATGAAAAATAACTATGTGATTCACAATTTTTTCAATATGAAATAACTAATTATCAATTTCTCCGGGTTTTCTTTCGTTTTTATCAATTGAAAGTTATATTTTGAAAACAAGAACTATTACAAACTTGTCCTTGGGTCATAAGGGACTTCGGGTGTGACGGGTAGAAGTGGGGAGATTTATAGACGAGACAATAATAGCTGTTGACGCAGTCCCTAACAGATTATATAGTACACGTAGCAACTATCTAGGCTAAATATGTAGCTATTTTTGTGCGTTTTGAAAAAAATATTTCTGATTTTTATTTATTTGCTGAAAATATTATATCCGGTTCAGAGATACTTATATTCTTGGAGAACACCGATGCCTGGGTTTTTATTGCATTAAATTGAACCTGGTTACTTACACCCCAATTCGAAATCACTTTCAGATTCTCATTATGATATGCATCCTTCTGCTGCCGGTGAAGATGTGCCTCCATAGCCGATGTTCTGGATTCCAAATGAAATGACGAGACAAGTGTGCTGTCGTCAGCAAAGTAATATATTGGATTCTTGTTTTTTTTTCAATATGTCGTTGATATACATAAAAAAAAAGTTGGAGGCAATATGGATCCCTAGTGAACACCAGCGCTGATGGTGAAGGTATTCGAGAGATATCCATTGACGGCTTCTTGCATACACAAAACTGATCCAACGAGCCATAGCGTCGAGGTTTGACCAGCAAACCCTCATGCCACACACGGTCAAAGGTCAAAGACCCTAGAAATATCAAGCGCAACTGCTCTTGATTCTCCATGTTTCTCGATTGCCTTATTTCAAATATGGGTGACATACGATAGAAGGTCACCCGTTGATCTTTGTTTCCGAAAGCCATATTGATAATCGCTCAAGATGTTGAAGCCTTCCAAATATTTGAGGATATGATGGTTCACGGCTTTCTCCATGATTTTTAATATCACTGATAGTAAAGCAACTGGTCTATAGTTATTTGGAAGATTTTTCTTGCCCTTGTGTGTAAGGCTCTCCAGAATCCTGAAAAAACGTTTTCTGCAAGTGGCCGTTGAAGGATATCTTTCGAATACTTTAACCATCAACTCTGGTGTTTCCCAGGGATCCATATTCTCTCCAACCTTTTTTTTTAATGAATATCAACCACCTATTGTAAAAAACCAAGAATCCAATATATTGCTTTGCTGACGACAGCACAATTGTCCCGTCACTCTATTCGGATTCCTGGACATCGACTGCGGATGCATATCTTCATCGGCAGCAAGAGGTTGCATATCCTAATTAGCATCCCCAGAGGTAATTTTTCGAATTGGGGTGAAAGTAACCAGGTTCAATTCAATGCCATGAAAACCCGGTCATAGGTTCTCTCCAAAAAAATTAATATCTTCAAACCGGATATAATAATGTCAGGACAGACAATTCCGCTTTCTGCTTCGATAAGTTTGTTGGTAGTTTAAATGGATACCAATAAGCCTTGGCACAGTCATGAAGCTGCAACACTGTTCCGGAAAAGAATTTTCATGTAGTGCTTGTGTTTTGCACTCAAATAAAAAATAATATCCATATAGCAATAAACATTTCATAAAAAAATATTTTCATTTTGAAATAAATTATTGATCAATGTTACTCACAATTTTTCTCATTGCTTTCATCTCTTCATCAGCTACCAATTTGGAACACCTCGGCAATACCGAAATGTCACTTTTTACTGGATGTTTTCCCACTTTCTTTGATGTTTTCATATTCCCTACAACTATTTCCACAGGCACTATTGTGAATTCACTCATTTTTTGCTCAGGTTCCATAATGCAACCAATTATATGGTCTGAGGCTAACTCTGCATTTACGAAAGTCACCAAACAAGCTGCTCCTGTGAAATTAGGCATTCCAGTAGGACCTCGTGAATTTGGGTCAAACATGTAAATAAGTGGGTCATCGTTTTCCCGTTCTTCTTCCCAAATTGCCACAGTCAACGGTTGGGTGACCAGTATTCCATGTGTATTTTCTTCGAAGAATTTCTCTATACCTGAAATATGACATCTCAAGTTATTTGTGGATATATTTTCAGAAGACGATTTTTAATACGAAATTGTCAAGAAGTATTCTAAAAATGCACACATTGGAGTTTAAATATCGCAATTTATTATCCTGTTATGTGGTATGTACCGTTCACCAATAGATAACTCCAAAGCTTTTCTTTAGAAATCTAAATAATACAAAACTGGAGTAGGTATTCTGTGTTTGAAAATCTGAATACCAACATTCTGATGAATAACTCTGGGGCTGAGGGCCGACAGCCGAGCGATGGCGAAGCGACGCGACGGTGGATCGGTGGCAATGCATACAATATCTACAATACAGGTGACGCGCATGAAACGGGCGGCGGCGGGGCGGACCGATCGATCAATGCACGGGCGGGAGGAGAACGACGGTGGCGTGGAAGCGATTAGGTCGCTCACGATTACAAAAGTGTTGTGTAGAAAAATGTAGTATTACCGATACCAAATGGAAATTGATGACGAATAATTTATTTCGTGTATTTTGTCGAAACATGTTCAATGGGACAGTAAAAATGTTCACTTCAGCTCGTAATGGAGGGTAGAAAATTCGCTAAAATTACTTCTTCCTTCATTTATAGAATGAACACCTTTCCTAGATGATAATAACTACGTTTTCATCAGTAGACTTGTCTCCAATAGTTCTCTTGGTCGTAAAATTATGTTACGATGACGTGACATGTTGCTCACAGCTCTACTCCTAACATTTCAGGTTAGAGTAGAGGGCTGACAACAGAGAAATCCTCGCTGGAGTGTCACAGGGGGCTGTGCTCTCTTCCACGCTGTCCTACCTTTACACCAGTGACCTCCCAAGGTCCGAGCGTGTGAAGATATCTCCATACGCCGATGACACGGCTTTCCTCTCATCTTCTATGGATCGAGAGCTCGGGATCATCTACATGCAACGTGTATTGGACGACCTCAAGCGCTGGTACCTTCGATGGAAGATCCGAGTGAACCCGGACAAGGCCAGGCGATAACCATGGGAAAAACGATGTCTTCTCCGGCCAGAAAAGTGAGAATATCTGGAAGGGAGATTGACTGGCAAGCGCGGGTAAAGTACCTCGGCTCACCTGGAACCCGCACATCACAACCGTGAAGGCAAAGATCGAGGGTCTAAACTGATCTTCAAAAATAAGCTTACGATCAACAAAACGATGTTCAAGCATGTCATCAAGTATGATTTAGGCATCTGGAGACAACTGTCTCCGTCTATATATCATCTCCATTCTGGAAAGAGTACAAAATAAGCTAATACAGATGATTGTGGTTCGTGCGAAATGAAACCACCCGCAGATATTTGCAGCTGCCTTGAACTGAGGATGGCTGTCGGTAACTCTACTCCAGCACGACTGACCGACCAAAGTTTCGTGCCCACGCAAGGTACTTCTCCTCATTGTCCCGCACCGTGCCGCCCCGCGGTCGCCATCGCTCGGCCCTTGCGATTTTTGTGCTCGCAGCCTGTGACTATAAATTGATAGATGTAGTTGTTACTACATGGTAGGAAAGTTTTATTTCTCATTTTTCATGAACGCTGAGATTGATTTTCAAAGTGATGTATGCTATTGAAATAATCTGAAAATTTGCAATGGAAAAATTGCTACTAATTCGGATAAACAAAGTGAATTTTCAATGACAGATCAAGCGCTGACTGATCACAAATTCATTATAACTAATATATTCTTTTTTAAAGAATCCAAAAAAAAACAGAAAAAAACAGATTATAAAGTAATCGTTATTTTTAACGATGTTGAATTTGAAGTAAATCTAAGTCATCTAAATAACGGCTTTATTTGATGCTATATTTGATGATCTGAATCAAATTATATATCAAATTATAGAAATTCAATTTCAGGAGGAGTAAATACCTACTCTCCAATTCACTATTGGTTTACATTTTCTATGCAATGAAAATAATGATTCAATTCCATAACGTATTTTTGAAATACAAGCTGAATAGGAAAACGTATTTTTCTTATATAATTCAATGTTATTAATGAAGTAGTTGTTTTGAAAATATTTTTTTCCGTGTGATTCAATGTAAATAAGAAAGTAGTTGTTTCGAGCTCAATGGGATTGAGCTCGAAAATACTAGTACCAGTGGCGTAGTGTAGTGGGGGCGGGAGGTGCGGCCCGCCTCGGGCGGCACTTTTCAGGGGCCGGCAAAGTTTCACAGTGAATAATAAAATATATTTTGTAAATATTTGAACTATTTTATATTTTATTGCAACTATAAATTCGGACCGATTGGAAAGAGCACGGAATTTTTCATTACTCATTCTGTGAAATCGGGGAATCCCCTTTCTTTGAATGATTTTTTGTAGCGAATGGTAACACCGTCTTTACTGACTTGCGGGGATTTCCCGTATTTTATTTTGTGCTTGGATTGTTTATGACTTATAATCAGCAAGAATGACTTCTATTACATATATATTAAGTTCAATATTGTTTATTATGTCCCTTTAAAAAAGTACGTGATGCTTTGACAATTCAGACAGCACTAACTGTAATCTAGACGACGTGACGCATCTGTTGAAATTGACTAGCAGGATTTCAAGCTAGAACAACTTCGACTGGGGATTTTTATTGCTACTACAGACAACGAAAATAAATTAATCAATGCAGACTCACTTGAATTTTTGAAGGTTATTGTAAAATATAAGCTGGAAAACTCTGCCCAATATTTTGATCATGCTGCGAACATTTTTCACCCTACAAAGCTTGGTACCAAACAGTTTTTGGACTACAGTAGGGATGAACTACGAGATGTCTAACAGGCCTTCTTACAAGTCACTGTCATTCGAATCATCTGTGCAGAAACTCGGACTGTCGGAAGACAGTGTGTGTCGCCTCTGTTTGGAAAATGATGAAACAGCAGAGCACATACATTTTGCCTGCCCCTCAGGGGACAGAATCAGTTTTTTATAGTTCGGCAGAGCCGTACTCTTACAATATGACCTGAAAGACCACTCACCATACAAACTAATCGGCTTCGTTGAGAAGCTGTGTTTATTTGGTCGAGTGTGAATAGTGGGAGTCACAATAAACCCTTGCGGGTTGCGGTGTAGGGTCGAATAGACCCACTCACTTTGGACTTAACCTGACCTAATCTACTTCTTTGTATAATCTACATACACATCTTTGTGAAAATTTTATTCTGGAATGAATTTTTTCATACAGTCTGAATCGTGCGAAAACTTTCCACAAAGGTGTATGAAATGAATTACTTTCAGGACTTATTTTCCGTGTGTATGTTTAGTGTGTATGAGCTTTGTACCATAATCAATACTTGAAATAATTGAAATCTATTACATTTTTCCTGTTTTATAGCAAGCAAAATTGTCTGTGCATTGACCGTCGCGTCCCTAAGAATTCAATAGTCGTATACGATTAGATAGTACGTTAATCCAATGAATATAGGCACATTGAGGCAACAGTGTTGTTTATTGGTGTTTTCATAGCAGTCGTGGAAAAAAGTTGAGTTTTGAGTCGGTTAACAACAATTGGAGATGAGAATAAACCGTACGTACTGAATTTTCTAGTTCACGGATTAGTTTGATGATAATAAAAAGAGAAAGAAACAATATCTATAAATTGGTGACAAATTATGTACGAGATATCCTTCACGAAAGTGTAAATAGAATTCATACGATATATGGGGTGATCCATTTGAAAATGACTTGATTTCTTTTACTTGTATATATGGTAACAATCCAAACATTATGATAATATTTGTGAAGTGTACCTACACATAAATATTTCTTTTCAATAATCAGATACATAGAGGGAAACCAATAGACTTATATATGGAGAATGAAATGACATGAAGATCTGAAAATTAGGTCGTGGATTTCAATGAATACAGTTTATAATTCTGAACTGTTTTTAGTAATGCGGTGTTGCCAGTTATAACGTTTTTCACATCAACTTTGTCTCAACATTTTTGCAAGCTACAGTGAATTATGAGCAACTTTTATTTTTTTTTACATTCGATATTTTGAAAGTTTGTGATAAATATGAATGATCATTCCAATGAGGATACTGGACTTGTTTCATGATTTTTGATTTACAGTTCATTTGGTAGTAATTTCGAATTGAAAAATAGTGTACTTTGTTTCAGGTCTCTAAATAGCGTTGTTTTCCCGTAATTAATTATCAAAAATCGGATTTTCTAGGCCTGTGACGTCACGGGCCTAGTCCCGCTTCTTGTTCGATTGACCAATGGGAACAATACAAATAATGAACATTGCCAAATTGTAAAATTCACGGAGCGTATAAACAGTTTCTGATTCATTCGTGATTAAAAGTAAAGTCACACTCACTTCCGACCACTAAATCTATGAAGAAAGTGTAAGAAATGCATTGGAAGGGAGAATTAATTATACATGGGAAACAAATAATACAAAACGTAATAAAAACGTTATTTTTGAAATATCTCCGGCTGCAGACATTTTTATGTTGATATCACAGAAATTTTAATAATGTAAGTATGTAGGAACCCGTTAACGTTTAAATTCATGAAAAAATTATACACATGAAATGAAATATACTCGAAAACCATACTTTTAAAAAGAATTTAACGAGCTATATTTTTAAATGGTTCTCGCAGGCGTATGAACCTTAATAAAATAATTCAATTATGCATTTTCGTCACCCAACAAAAATAAGGAATTCAACGTTATATATTTGCCATATTGCCAGTCAGCTATCTCTCTTGAATGTAAGAGAAAATGTACTTTTTCCAATATTTCATAACTTCGTATTTTTGTTAAAATAATTGACACTTGGCAACATCGCTGTAGACACGATCAAATTTATTGATCGATAGACACGCGGCTAATTTAAACTCTTGCTTCTCGAATTTTTTTTCTGCAAATATAAACAGGTATTGGGACCGATTAGGCTCGATAAGTATAATATACTCCTAACTCGATCAGTTTCTAAGCAAACCAGTACCTATCATTTTCAAAAGCATGAAACAAGCCCATTCTTAGTTTATTTTATATGAGAAAAAATGCAAAAATATCAGCATAACTTGCAGATAATTCAGTGAAAAAAAATAGCTCTTATGGAAAAGTGAAAGACTCTTTAACATAGTCATCTAGAGTAGGGCAAGATGAGGATAATTTCATAAATATTCAAGTTTTGAGTGCTGGTTTGAAAAATGAAAAATTTAAACGTATTAACTAGTTTTCCCGTTACCATAACATAGTGAAAAATATTCGATGAACATCTTTTAATCTGTAATTGAAAAGTATAGGAGTATTTTAACAAATTTTATTCAAAATGAAATGATTTTGAAAATGCAACAATATATAGGGTGTTCCATTTGAAATACGTCAATGATGCGTAAATTTTCATCGTGTTGAAGAAACAATGTCTGGCAATAATAGTTCAGATTCATATGTTAATGATAATAATAAAAGCGGCTATGAATTTAGCTTGGTATACAAAAACGTTAAAATATACAGAGTGTTCCATTCGTGAAAAAATCGTAGACCGTATTCATAATAGCCACTATAAAACCAATGAATTTGGGTTTCCCTGTATAATGGACCAAAGAGTTAAATCATTTCACATACCACGTCGGAGGTTCAGCACTGAGTATTCCTTGCTGTCTATGATGCCTTTCTGATCCGTCGTTCTCAACTCACAATTGGCTTTGAGCACTCCGATTTTGTAATCGTTATTGACTCGATAAATGTCTAGTTTCTCTTCCCAAGGATTGAAGTCGTAACCAAGGTTGTCGATGGACTCGTCATAGAGGTCTGCGCCAACTTCTATGATATTGTCAATCATAAGCTTTGACCAAGTATTAGTCTTGTGTAGGAGAGTCATAGTAAGAGCAATGAAGGCAATTGGAGAGCTCATGACGCCTGGTTCTTTACCGAACTTTGGATCATCTTGACTTATTGTACCCTTGAGAATGCACTTGCCTGAAAACAGTAATTTTAGGTTAATTGGTGAGTATATTGAATGCATAAAAACAATTAAAACAAAGTATAGCGGTCAAACAAAATAATGATAAGCTTATCAATCCCAAGAAATATCAACAATTCTTAATTGACAAAAAAGTTTGTAACATGATATAACACCTGGGCGGAAAAGTCCCAGGTCTAATAAAGAAAACGTAATCGCCATCAAGAGCCATACAATCATTTCAGCGTCGCTCTAACATTTCAATAATACTTTTGTTGAACGATTTATCTTTTGCCTCAAAATAGTTTCAGTGAGCATTTTTTTGAGGTCTGCGAACAACCAGTAGTAGCTGGGACCCAAATCTGGCGAATATAATGGGTGCGGGAGCAATTCGAAGTTCAATTTATGTAACGGGTGACTTTTTGAGAGGTATAGGATTGTATTTTCAAAATAACACAAAAAATTTGGAAAAAATTATGAAATCTTTATTGGAATCGATAGAACAATCAATATAATTTAATGTTTGAAGACGATTTCATGCAAATATTGTCCGCGGTTCCGCTTTAGATGGCCCATGCGATAGGTCCAATTTTGGCACACTCTCTCTAACATTTCGACCGGTATTTCACGTATAAATGCTTCAATATTGGCTTCCAGAGCAGCAGTCGTTGCTGGTTCATTCCTGTAGACATGAGCCTTAACATGATTCCACAAGAAATAATCCAAAGGCGTTAAATCACACGATCTAGGCGGCCAATTGACGGACCCCAATCGTGAAATAAACTGTTCACCGAAGGCGGCTCTTAGTTGGGCCATTATTTCGCGTGACATGTGGCATGTGACACCGTTTTATTGAAACCACATGTCATGTCCAATTCTTTCATTTTAGGCAACAAAAGTCGTCAATCATCACACGGTTGCGCTCGCTATTCACAGTAACATTCCGGCCATTGTCGTTTTTGAAGAAGTAGGGCCCGATGATGCCACCGACCCATAATCCTCACCAAACAGTGACTTTTTAGGAATGCATCGGTAGCTTGTGCTTGTGGCTGGTCTTCACTACAGACGCGGCAATTTTGCTTGTTAACGTATCCATTCAACCAGAAATGAGCCTCATCGCTGAACACAATTTTTCGATATAAATGTGGATCTTCCTCCAACTTTGCCAGCGCCCATTCACCAAATGTTCGACGTTGTGGGAAGTCGTGTGGCTTCAATTCTTGCACCAGCTGTATCTTAGAATGTTTTACACCCGAATCCTTTTCCACGTAGTGGAGTAACAGAGGCCCATTTAGTGCGAATGGCGGCGAATCAACATTTCACGGTCATCATGAACACTGGCGAATACAGCCACAATATTTTCTTCGGTCCTCACTCTACGTATGCGTGTTGGTGGTTTAATGCCCAATAATGTAAACTGGGTTCGAAATTTAATCACAAACTTCCGAATAGCTCCCACAGTAGGCCGACGAAACTGCCCATAAATTGGAAGAAGTGCACTATGCACTTTCTTGACATACATTGACATGACATACATTATACATACATTGATATTCGATTGCTGACCACCGAAGAGTGCAGACGTGTCGCAGCGATTTAGTGTGTTTTTTGGCAATTTCTCAGTGAATGATCAGCCGTGCTGTAGTGTTTCTGGCTCGGTGTAGTTCGTGCGTTGTGTTGTGCTGTGCAGGCGAAAACGTTTCTGGTGAGTACGTTTAGATATTTCATTTCCGTTACTTTCCTGGTGCTCAAAGCTTCTGGTAGTTCAATACTTCGATAAAGTCACAGCAATATGGAGGAACTGCTTGACAGCCTGATGCCCAGGGACAGGGGTGAAGTAATTACCCTTATGGGTTTATTAGTTGACCGCCTGGGCCTGAGTCCAACAGAGCTGTTAAGAGGCAGCCCTGGGGCGGTAGTTCGGACGCCCTCTGTCCCCCCACCAGGAGTCAGAGAGCTTCTCGAGCGCCCGCCACAGAACACTTCCCCCGAAAGTGCTTCTGTGAACACCACCTCCTCTACGCAGCCAGACGCCAAAGTAGACAAGGTCAAGACAAAGCCGCAAGAACCGGCTAACAAAAAGCGTCGCCTTCCAGAGGAGTTTCCTTCTCTTCCTCCCAAGCAGGCTCCTCCAAGTGTTGCTGAAAACACCGGAGCAAAGCCGAAAAGCCTAATGAAGAAAACTAAGCTTCGGAAAGAAGCCAAACACAGTACCTCGTAGTCGGAGATATCGACCACCGAATCCTCCATAGACGGAGAACAGGAAATGTCAGTTGACGACTTCGACAACAAGTCTGAAAACTCTTTCACCACTATACAGGGTGGCCCAAAAAGACAAGGTTGAAAATCTCAACGATTTGGGAAACATCCCCCAACCCCCCACAAGGTGAACTACACTAAAGCGGTGAACCTGGCCGACGGCATCAAGGTTCAGCCTTCGACGATCGAGGACTATAGGAATATGTCCAAACTCCTGGTGAGGGAAAAAATCCCTCACCATACATACACCTTACCTGAAGACAGGCAACTCAGAGCCGTCTTCAGAGGAGTCCCAGAACAACTGGAGACCGCGGACATCGAGGACGCCTTGGTGAAGAAAGGCTTCCAACCCACATCGGTGTCGAGAATGATGCGTGGAAACCGCCCGCTTCCTCTGGTTTTGGTTCAAGTGAGCCAAAATCAGAAAAACATCTACGACGAACGGGAGCTACTCAACGTAAAAATCAAGGTTGAGCCCCAACATCAGAGGACACTGGTCGGACAGTGTCACCGATGTCAGCGGTTTGGACATAGCCAGAGGAACTGCTTGGCCATCCCCATCTGCGTCAAGTGCGTCGGCAGACACCTTTCATGTGAATGCAAAAAGCCTAGGGCAGAACCCCCTAAGTGCAACAACTGTAAGGGGGTGCATACCGCGAACTACCGAGGTTGTCCTGAGTTCCCCAAGGTTCGCAGGAGGACCAAGGTGGCAGCAAATGTCCCCCCCAAAAAGCATCCACACCTGGGAGGCGTCCTGCCGGAGCATCTGGCACGCGCCCGGGGATGAGCTATGCAGGAGCGGCTAAGAGCGGCAACACCTCCGCTAAGCCGACCTCAGCACCTAGCGATCCTAGTCCGTCGAAGGTTAGTGACATCTGCTCCGCTCTGGACCAGATGAAGAAACTCTTCATTCAGTTCCCCGTACTCGAGAAAATGTTTACGGTGAACACCAGCGTGATAACTGAAACTTGTTAATGGCTAGACAACCAACATTGCCTAGCTCTCTTAAGGTTGTATTTTGGAATGCCAATAACATCACAACTAAAAAACTTGATTTTACAAACTTTCTAACAGAGCATAACATCGATGTCGCACTTGTGCAGGAAACCCACCAGCACAATGAGCCTTTTGGTATCCCAAACTACCGTTTCTACCATAGAGAACGAGTTGGACGTGCTGGAGGAGGAGTTGGCATTTTTGTCAAACGTAATCTTCATCATGTACAATTCGGCATTGACTCGGATCGGTTACACGGCACGGAAGCCGTGGGCGTTGAACTCCAACTGAGAAGAGGTCGTCATAGACTAATCTCAGTTTACAACCCTCCGCGGAATCGTCTACTCCCAGAATCACTGGATGAACTGCTGTTGTCGACAGATACCCCCACAATTGCTGCTGGTGACTTCAACGCCAAGCACAATCTGTGGAGCAGAATCACCAATACGAACGGCCGAGCGCTGCATGCGCATGCTGACAGGCATGAGTATCGAGTGATGGGTCCAGGTGAGCCTACGTTCTACCGTGGGGATAACAGACCTGACGTGCTTGATGTCGCACTACTCAGGAACGTCTCCATGTCCTGCGAAGTGTACACTTTGACGGAATTAGACTCAGATCATAATCCAGTCATCCTGATGCTGGGTGATGATCCCCCTCCTCAGGAATATCGCGTGAGATCATCCACGGATTGGGAAGCCTCCAAGGCTCATCTAGTGGAGACACCTACAGACCGCGAGGCACTTCAAACTCGCAACGGTCTCGACGCGGCGGTGGCAGATTTCGATCTGTCTGTGAACAACGCTTTCAGCGCAGCCACAACTAGGACGGAGTGTTCTCTGCGAAACTATAATGAGTTCCCTCCCAGGATAAAGAACCTTATCCGGGAGAGGAATCGACTCAGACGAGTTTATCAGCGGACCCTCTATCCTGGGGACAAGACTGCTGCTAACAGGATGGCCAACGAAGTCAAAAGGGCCATCCATCATTGACTACAGAAACGAGAGGTGGAGTGAGTGTTTGGAATCTCTTGAACCTGGGGATGATGAGCTATGGCGAGTCACCCGCAGGCTCGAGAAGAGGAAAACTGCTCCCTCCCCTCTTCACGGACAGCGCGGTATCTGCTACTCCCCCGCCGAGAAGGCGCTGGCCTTTGCAGATATAATGGAAAATCAGTTCCAACTTAACGTTGATCCGGATGATGATATTGACCGTGATATCTGGCTGGAACAACGAGTTCAGCGTATCCTCAGGGAGAATGACGACGATGTGATCCGTCCAGCTTCGGAGGAAGAACTGAGGGGGTACATCAGAGCCTCCAAACCAAAAAAGGCTCCGGGAATTGATTCAATCAACAATAGGTTGTTGAAGCAGCTCCCGGAGAACTTTATCAGATACTTGGTGGACATTATAAACAGCTCAATCGCCCTCAGATACTTCCCTCGAAGATGGAAGCATGCCGTAGTTGTCATGATTCCGAAACAGGGTCAGAACCCGTTGTTTCCCCAGAATCATCGTCCAATTAGTCTGTTTTGCTCAGCGGCTAAGCTGGCTGAACGTGTTGTGCTGCAAAGGCTAACTGAAGAAGTTGAAGACCGAAATGTTCTGCCTGACGAACAATTCGGTTTCAGGAGGGCACACTCCACCGAGCTGCAGGCCTTGAGACTGGTCGAAAACTCCATGTCAGAGCTAAATAACAGGAAGACAGTCCATCTAGTCCTCCTGGATATTTCAAAAGCCTTCGACCGAGTATGGCACGAAG